CCTGTCGTTGTTCCTGCTACCATGCCCCTGTTAGGGTCAAGTCGGCTGCGGGGTTGTATGTGCCGCAAAGCCTTTATCTAACGACTGTCACAGGCATTCTAAGACCATAATTCGGCCTAAATTACTAACATTCCCGTGCGGGGATCGTTGTTATATTTGGATGAACTGCGTCGTACTTGGAAAACAGATCGACGCCAAAGTCGTCAAACAAAGCATGCCTACTACTATGAAATAAGTAGGCAGTTATGCGAAATAAGCGGTGGTGAGCCCGAAACGTGAAAGTCACTCAGTAGCCTGTTAGAGTAGGAGTAGGCACAATGCTCGATGTGGCACAGAGCCTTTATCTAACGACTGTCATAGGCATATTGGGTTATCCGAGGTTTTATAAGTTGCCGATTATCAGAAGGGGGGGAGGGCAGACTGGTCGCAAGACAGAAAACAGGAAACATACCAATTCCTCACAAGTGCCCGTTTCAAGGTTGCATAGAGTCAGACGACCGCGATTGCGTCTGAGAGAAAAGACAGATTAAAAATAAATTTTGTTTGGCTATTTTGCAACGTAGGGGCTTCTGAAGTATCAAGCAGGTCTTATTATCAGAACCTGATAAAAAAGTTTGGGGAGAACGAGGGTGGTGCTGCATAAATCCCTCTTATAATAATCCAATCATCACTTTCTTTGAGAGTACTATGACAGAGGCAATACAATTATACCTATATAGATTATACGAACCGCACGCACCGCGGCTCTTCTGAGCTTTCCGTCAGAGATAAAAGTGTAAACGAAAAACAAGGTACAGTTATAGGCGGCAGGGGCCAATCGACCGTTCTAGGGGAGGGGGGGGCGTATCGTGGCGGTTGCGAGGATAATCGCCCACGCCGCCAACAAGACAGGCCGCGAATTGATTGACGCCTGGGCGTCAGATGCTAACTCAGTCAATCGATTTATCGATCTGGGGACGGCATACATCGCCCTGCACAGGCATTACCGGAGTGACGGCACTGTTGGACGACTGGCCCCCCTTTTCTCCCCGTAACGGTTGATTGGCTCCTTCCCCTGCCCCTGTAACTGTTGTCTATTTTTCGTTGATGATTTTATCTCTGACGATGGACTCCAGTAAGAACCCGAAAGCTAATACGAATAAATTATGATTCCGGTGATCGAAACGCCTTCTTCTTCTTCTCTATCTACACACATACCTGGGATTCGAACATTTGCCTCACTTGTTATAGTCGGCATGTTAAATGCATCCTATAAGTATTGGAACTTCTGTACGCCTATTAGTCTTATCTGCGACCGTCTATGGAGATGGGTTTGCATGACAAAATGAAATGGTCGAGCGAAGAACATTCTTGCTTCAGCGACTGTATCTCCTGCTTTACAATATTTCAGCATGGAAAATGACAACCACTGACTCCGAAGGG